AAGTGGGGGAGATGTTCCGACGGATTTTTCCGTCAGAGGAGGTATATTCTGTTGAAAAAGTAAATAAAAAAAGATAAAAAAAAAAACCACCACAATCCCCACCCAGAACCACCCTGGCCACCAGCCCACACCACCCACCACGTCCCAAACACCCCACCCCACCCCAGACCCAGACCCAGACCCACCTCACCCCACCCCACCCAGACACCCCACCCCCGCCACCAGCCCACACCACCCACCACGTCCTAGACACCCCACCCCATCCCAGACCCAGACCCACACCACCCACATCGTCCCAGACACCCCACCCCACCCCAGACTTACCAAACCCAACCCAAAACCACTAAATAACCCACACCCACACCACCCAGACCCCCCTTCCAAACCTCCCCCACGCCACCCACACCACCACAACCCCACCCCATAACCACCGACACAACAGCCCACCCCACCACCACTAACACCACCCCACCACCACCGTTAACCCCAAAAAAACCCACCTCCCCGAAACCCACCGAAACCACCCTAAAACCCATCTCCCACCACCTCCCTAAACCCACCACCCACCTCACTGAAACCACCCAAAACAACCACCGAAACCACCCAAAAAAACATCAAAAAAAATCCATAATTAAACAACACCATAATTCAAAAAAATTAGAAAAATAAACAAGTTAATTAAGAAGAAAAAAAAACACATACCTTAATTTTGACAAAAAAAAAAAAAAACCGTCGAAATTGGGTTTACAAGGTCAAATTCGACCATGAAAACTCTAGATCTAGAGTTTTCATGGTCGAATTTGACATGAAAACCTTGATTCCCTTGAAAATCTTGAATTTACATTAAATTGATACCCAAATAACCCAAATTGAAAATGAAAAGAAAAAGGGGAAGAGGAAAGAGAAAGAGGGGAAGAGGAAAGGAAGTAGAGGAAGGAGAAGGAGTAGGGGCGCCGCCGCCATAGAAGGAGAAGGAAAGGAAGGAGAAAGAGGGGAAGAGGAAAGAAGAGAGGAGAGAGAAAGAGAAAAGAGGCGTGAAGGGAGAAAAGGTAGGGTTTCTAGCTTATAAATCCGTTTTTTTTTTTTTTTTTTTTTTTTTTTTTTTTTTTTTTTTTTTATAAATTTGTCGGAATGCTATATAATTCCGTCGGAAATTTTCCAACGGATAACCTAAATTCGTTGGAAAGTTCCGACAGAACTTAAATCCCTCGGAAATCACATTTTTTCCGACGGATTTTCGTGTCCGCCGGAACACGTCCGTCGTAAATTGCCCTATTTCTAGTAGTGAAAGAGGCAACACAAGCAATTGAATCCAGCAAGAGATGTCATCAGGCTTGCAGATCACCCTATCAAGCGCTCCTTTGAGAACCCGAGAAAAACCCAAGCGACACTTTGGAGGTATAGATTTCACCAAACAAAACCGCTTAGATAGCAAACTATCAAGGAGAGCAACATCGAAAGCAAAATGAGGCACACGAGGCACACTAGGAACAAGACCAGAAAAACTCCGAAGAAAGACCCTGTGGTTTAGGAAAACCATAAAGAACAAACCGAACAACACCATCCCCCGACTCAGGTGGGTCCACAATATCATCTGAACCACGACCATGTCGACACTTCGTACGAAAAGTATGAGTCTTGAAACATTCCCCACAAAGCCAAATTCTCATACGACGAAAAGTTGACTCCGCCTCTAAGAAAATAGCCAAACCAGAAGTAAGAGCTTCGAGTTATATCCCACGCATCCACAAAACAATGGCGGTCACGGAGATGAGTGATCAAAGAAGTTTTAGTGAGCCAATTACCCCTGCCATCTTGACACCCATTAAGACCCACGAATGGGCAATGAAAGAGAACACTAGGAAGCATAACATCCACCGCAACTTGCCACAAGAGAATCGCAATTATTATTATTAATAAATGATAAGTAGTTTTTTTCCGCTGCAAGTCTCTGTTAAGCCTTACGTAATCACGTGGCGGTAATATTCCCAAATTACACCCTCAGGTTGCATTATGATTATGGGAGAGTAATTTGGGGGTGTTATAAGATAGGTCTAAACAATAATAATTCGTCCATTTTAATTTAATAGCTCTATTTTGACTTTGTACAGTTTTTAAAATGTACTTTTGACCATCAATATCTTTAACTGTATAATTGACAGAAATTTTATTTTATACACTACACATTGAGACAAAATCTAACAATATGATGCACGATCCATATCTCTTTCATCCTCCAAATTAACCGGTTCTCCCTCCAACTTGCTTTTTCAACATGATATCTTCAACATTCTATTAATACAAAAACAATACTTTTTAAAACCATTTAAGATAGTACTTCATGTATATTAAATGGGTTAAACTCCTTTCAACAAAAAATTAAATGAGTTAGGCGCTGTTCACTTCACCTTAAAAAAATAATTTTAAGTAAAAATAATTTCACTTCAGTAAAAATAATTTTAGTTCAGTAAAAATAAGTTCAGCTCAGTAAAAATAATTTCAGTTCAATAAAAATAAGTTCAGTTTAGTAAAATTCAGTATCTTTAAAGAAGAAATAAAATAGAAAATAAGTAAAAATAATTTCAGTTCAGCAAAAATAATTTTAGTTCAGTAAAATTAATTTCAGTTTAGTTAAAATAATTTAAGTTTAGCAAATATAATTTAAGTTTAGTAAAAATAATTTAAGTTCAGTAAAAATAATTTAACTTCAGTAAAAATAAGATGAAGTGAAAGGGCCTTTACAATATACCCATTTAGATGGCGACATAATAGATAGACATGTTGATAATAATTACTACAACACCCACTATAAACAAATTTCTATCAATTAAAATAAATATGATGCTAACATGGAAATACAGTTGCATATGAGTTATGAAGCCTACTCTCGATTTCAGTTAAAATACATCCCTAACAAAAATTAGAGACACAATATAAAACCATAATTTAGATGGTATAACAGATAGACATGTTGGTAAAGGTACTGTGTAAAAACCAAAAATAATAACACGGAAAATTGGCTTAAAATAATATCAATTGTCAATAGTGTGTGTAAAATAATACGAACTCAACTATTTGTAATTAGTGGTAGCACCTTTTGTACTATATGTGCAAAATAGTACGCCGATCACTGGAAAAGAATCGCGAGAAATAATGCGTCTATATTTATTATTATGTTTTTGTTCTAATATGTTTTCTTTTCAAAATACATATTATATTAACAATTTTCGGTACAGTACAACCCAAATTAATAATGCCCCGCCCCTTTATTAGGATTTTTTTATTTTTGAATTGTCAATATGTATTTAAATTTTTTTTTTCAAAGTACTTGTAGTAATTTCTACTACCGCACTATAGTAAATATGGTAATTAAATGCATTGTTTTTTTTTTGATATAATTAGTTTCAAAAATTTGTTAAAAAATCAAAAACTTTCCCTACATTATTTTGGTTGGTTAATGTGGAAAATTTTGGTTTTTTGAAACTAATAATATCAACATAATAATGCATTTAAATATCTTATTTACTATTGTGTGATTGTAGAAATTACTAATGGTATTTTTTTTAAAAAATATTTAAATAAATATTGACAATTAAAAAAAAAAAAAGGAGTGGGCCATTATTAATTTGGATTATAAATGAAATTGTTACATAATATGTATTTTAAAATGAAATCAGAAAATTAATAAAAAAAACATAAAAATAAATATACACGGAATACACCTTGAAATACTTTTTTGGTGACCGGCGTATTATTTTGCACATATAGTACAAAAGGTGGTACTACTAATAGCAAATAGTTGAGTTCGTATTATTTTAAACACGTCGTTAATAATTGGTATTATTTTAAGCCAATTTTCCTAATAACAACCATAAACTAAATTTACCTTAGGGATTTCACACTCTCAGAATTGGAAAACCCAACAATAAGAAATAACGAGATTTTAGCCATTCAATATTTCCATCCATGTTTGAGATATGAATTTATATGCATCGACATTAAATTCACACACATACAAACTCATAATAACATGGATTCCCCAATTCATTCAACCAAGACAACAAAGATTCCAACTCCATGAAATTCATTACAAAACCCTATATTTGTGGACTCGTTTAATTATAAACAATAATAACTTACGACTCCTGATTAAATTACTTTCACTATGCTAACAACTACTCAAATAATTCGAATACTCCCTCCGTTTTTTTTTTTAATGCATCACTTTGACTTTTGTACTATCCACATATCATGATTGACTTAATTTTTTCACTACTATAAAATAAATAAATGTTATTATATAATAAATCATTGATTAGTCATAATACATGTCTAGCTTCATAATATTATTTTGTTATAATTTTTAATAATAGACAATTAAAAATATTAATGGTCAAAGTTACTTCTCGACAAATATTCCGGTTCAATTGATGCATTTTAAAAGGGGGGGGGGGTTGTTACTAAGCATTTGAACTGTTGAACATACCTCATGGATTTTACTACTAATTTTAGGATATATAGTTGACAACTTATGTTATACCCAAAGACTTTTTCTTTCAAACACACTACATATACTCCCTCCACTTCATAATAATAACAATACTTTTCTTTTTCATCCATTTTGTAATTAGTGAAACATTTCCTTACATGGTAAGTACCTACTAATATTTTATTATTGCTCTCTTTTACCAATTCCACTTACACTACCAATGCCCACTAAGCCTTTACTTTCCCTTATTTTTTTTAAACTGGGATTACTTTTAGTGAACTTAAATTATTTTTTCTAGAATTTAAATTATTTTTACTGAACTAAAATTAATTTTGTGAACAAAATTTATCTTTGCTAAACTGAAATTAATTTTACTGATTTCTATTATATTTTTTTTTCCTTAAAAGAAACTGATTTTACTAAACTGAAATTAATTTTACTAAACTGAAATTAAACATTTACTTTATTAAAATTATTTTTATTCAGACAATTAGAGTACTATAAAGCTTTAGTGCTACACTACCATTTTACCATCAAACCTTCCAGAAAACATTGTAAAAGAAATGGATCAAGCAAACATCTATCCCGAAGAAGAAGCAAAAGAGCAACTACTAGATGCACAAGCTCATATATGGAGGCATGTTTTCTACTTTCTCAAATCCATGGCCTTAAAATGTGCTATTCAACTAGGCATTCCAGACACCATTCATAAACATGGCAAACCAATGACTCTAAAAGAGCTAGCCAATTCACTTCCTATCATCCCTAACAAAGCTACTTCTCTTTCGCGCTTAATGCGACTTCTTGTATCCTCCAAATTCTTCTCTATGAAAACTTTAGCCAACGGCGAAGAAGGATTCGCTCTTAATTTGAGCTACCAGCTTCTGTTGAAAGATCACCCTCTTTCACAAGCTCCCTTTGTTATTGGAATCCTTGATCCGCGGCTTGTTGGTCCATCTCATTATTTAAGTAGTTGGTTCGAAAGCGAGGCTGAATCTTCTTTCCATATTGCTTATGGGAAAAGTGTTTGGGAATTTGCTGGCCATGACTTGGAATTTAATGATATCTTCAACCAAGCCATGGAAAGTGATTCTCGTTTTGCTACCAGCTTGTTGGTCACCAACAATGTTTTTAAAGGCTTATTTGAAGGTGTTGAGTCATTGATGGATGTCGGTGGTGGTAGCGGGGCGACGGCTAAGGCCATTTCTGAGGCCATCCCATGGTTGAAGTGCAGTGTACTTGATTTACCACAAGTGGTTGGACGGGTACAAAAAGATGGTTGCAACTTGAACTTTGTTGCTGGTGACATGTTTGAGGCTATTCCTCCTGCTGATACTGTCCTACTTAAGGTAAGATGACCCCAATTTCCACTAGTGAATTTGTCAAATTGAAAATGATAAAGATGTAGAAATAACAAAAATTGAAAATGCTTTTAAAAAATTACAAAGTCCCGATTAACATGTTATTGACAGGACAAGACTCACAATTCGAAGTGATCATTTTTTACCCTACATGTTATTGACCGCATTTAAATCTAAACCCAACTTACGCAGTAAATACGTATTTAATACTTTATTAGGGATGATTTCATGGTTGTCGTTTGAAAAATAACCATATTTTTAAAATTGAACGGTTAACATTTAATGAATTTTGAATTATATGTAGTATATAAATGTGAATATTAATTAAATACCAATGCAATTATTTTTTAATAAAATATTTATTTATTTTCTTTTTTTTTTTAATTTTATTAATTAAATATCAATGTAATCAGTTCTACTCTTTGGTATTATATAGATTTGTAGATTATACCTTGTACTCCCTTGGTTTTTTTTTTAAAAAAATTATTTTCTTATTTTTCATTTTGATATATATATTTGTTTTAGATTCGCACATTTATACTTTCTTACCTCAACACTGAGCCCATGTTTCCTATAAAAAAAATATATTGAGCCCATATTTTATTGTATATTAATATTAATGTCTGCATGCAATTATTTCTATCTTCCCTATATCCAAATTAGTCAAAAAAGCACCTACACACTTTCTAAATTGCTTTTTCAGTCTCACTTGTTTATGCTCTAAATTGCTAATGTCTCTACGCAGCTATGTAACAGTCTCACTTTTTTATGTTCTAAGAACATAAATATATATATATATATATATATATATATATATATATATATATATATATATATATATATATATATATATATAGTTATAAATGAACGGAGAAAATATCTTCTTTTGATTGCCTTCCAAATTTGCTACTCAATCTAAAATTATAGTTTGAAATATAGAGGCTGTTAAATACATAAATTGCTATAAAAAATAGAAAGATAAATTTTATTGTTGTTTAATCACGTTTGTCAATAGTCAATACATAAATTTTTATCCGTAAATATCTATATCTCACATAAGTGTTTTTTCTTATGTATAGATGAAATATTATAGTTGGAAAAATATAATCTATTAAATAATAGGAAAAATTGCTTTAAATAATACAACTTTTAGCCCGTCCGCTAAAAGCAAGTCCACCTTTTGATTATCCCAGAATAATACCACCTTTGGGGGGTGTCCACTTTAAACAGGTTGTAACCTGTTGGTAACCCGATTAATAGGTCATGTAGGACATGTGTCAATATTTTATTAGTTTGACAATTTAATTTTTTTTTTTTTAGTTTTTACAAGATATTTAATAATATTAATCACTTTAGTATTATTTTTTTATTGGTATTTTTTTTTTGAACAAATTTTTTTATTGGTTTTGTAAATTTAATTTGATTTTTTAAGAATTATTTAATATTTTAATTTTAAAAATATAAATAATAATAATAAATAAATGAAAAAACAAAGGAAAAAAAACCAAAAATGCTCACAGCACCACCCTTCCCCTTCTACCACTGCGAAGTCCAGATCCAGCTTAGCCCCCACCCCGCCGACCACCGTCTCCCCTGATCACAGAAAACGACCGGCGCCCAAACCCCTCTTCCCGACCTTTCTTCCTCTCGCCTCCTCCGTCTCCCAAACACCCCCATTTGACGCGCCGGAATAACAACCCTGTAATCCCAGCCTCGACCCCGAAAAACGCCGGCAAACCACCTAACTACCCCAAAAACCCAACCCCGACCCCAAAAACCCCACCCTAGCCCCGAAAATCCCCCTACCCATGCAGAAATTGAATCGTGCAGCCCTTGCGCGTTTCAGTCACCGTCCCTCCACGCTGCTGCCGCTCCAACACCTCGCAACAACCTCCGTGGGTAAGGGAGATGGATTTCGGGTAGGGGTTTGCTAGTTTGGGGGAAGAGGGAAGAGGGAAAGAGGGGAAGGATCGGTAAGGGAGCCGGCGTCGGCGCCGGAGGGGGGATCTGGGCGTGGCCGGCAACGGCGGGCAGGGAGTGGGGCGCGCCGGAGAAAGGGAAGTAGGTGGTAGCTGGGGTTTTTTTTTAAAAAAAAAAGTTATTTTAATTATATTAATTGTTAACCATAACTAAAGTTGTATGTAAGAGTTAATTAAAGTGTTAAACGAAGTTATTAAAAAAATAAAATAAAAAGGTTAACCGGTCATTAAGGTTGCAGGTAAAAAATACTGTTTAAAGCGGACACTCCCTAAAGATGGTATTATTTTGGGATAATCAAAAAGTGAACTTGTTTTTAACGAACGGGCTAAAGGTCGTATTATTTAAAGCAATTTTTTCTAAATAATATCAAAAATCAAAATGTCTCAATTAATTTAAACTGTAGAATTATGATTTATTCAATCTAAAAAGTGCACTTTATACAATATGCAGTGGATATTGCATGATTGGAGTGATATAGATTGCATTAAAATATTGCAAAAATGCAAAGAGGCAATTCCGACCAAAAAGCAAGGAGGTAAAGTGATTATCATTGATATAGTTGTGGATCCACAAATGAATAAGAACAAAAACTCTGATGTTCAATTATTACTTGATATGGAGATGATGTTCGTCACTGGTGGAGGAAAAGAACGAACTAAACAAGAATGGGAGAATATCTTCATTATTGCTGGTTTTAGTGATTTTATAATTCTTCCTATATTGGGTTTAAGGTCAGCAATTGTGGTATATCCTTCATAAATTTGTATTTTCTGTATTGGTTTCTAGGAAGAGTGTTGTGGCCAAATAATTGAATGGATTTTTGTATGATAAGCTTTTTGATTATGAGCGTGTTAAAATTGATTGGTGTGGTTTTGTGTATTTTTCACTCGTTTGAAGAAACAGTATGGTAGAAACCTTGTTTTGTATATTGATCAACAAGTTTGACCATGTATGATATCAAAGATATAAATTTGACTGTTTGGAACGGGTCAATGGAAATGTCAAAATTAGGGAGTCATCAATAAAATTTGGGTAAAATACATATTGATGTTTGAATCTCATGAACGGGGACAAACCAAAGGCTGCCAAATTTATGTATCAAAGTTACACCACCCTTCATAGATCCTATTGACCAATGAATCCGTATACTTTTGAAGCATTTAGAATTTGGATATGTACAAATTTCACCTTGAGTTAGTGCTCGAAACAACTTGACCTCTAAAATATGATATTTACTACCCGTTTTTGAAAATTCGACTCACTTATTATTCATATGGTCAAATTAAATAAATTTGATCACATTTTATGATTTATACAATAAAAATAAATTAACAAGTTTGATCTTATTAGTTTCCCCTTATGATAATTTTTTTAAATATCAACTTTTAAAAACTTATACATAGTCGAAGCTATTAATGGTAAAAAATGTTCATTGAAGACCATGCAAATGCAAAGTGACTCAAACTTTCAGAAACAGAGGGAGTATGAATAATGTAGTTAAAATGTTGAATATCATACGAACAACAATTTCAGAATCTTTGAGTATTGCTAATTGTGTATATGAATTCAAACAACATGAGATTTATATGATTTTAAATTAGTTAGTGATTAAAATTCATCATTGAATATTATGGTCATCGAAGATATAATGATAAAATCAAACGTCATTAATTCTCAACATTCTATACTAATACTAATGAGTTGCAACAGCAATGCCGTGAAATAGGCTTTGAAAATCAGTACAAGCTGAAATAGACATTATATTGATTGCTGAAAAGGTTAGCTTGTTCAAGAATCATTACCTTAGACAAATCACCGGGTCTCAAGAATTCAATGCAACAAAATGTACTACAAATATCAAATCCATCCAAGACAAGTATTACTCATAGAGATGGAATTAGAACGTCGAGTGTGGTGGAAACTACCATTAATATCGAGTGTCGACGTGGACACTACCCCTAATGTCGAGTTTCGACGTGGACATGCCCAGGCCAAGCCATTTCTCCTTTAGAAACAATCTTTAGAAGTGGCATAAAGAAGAAAATCGAACGCAAACTTCCAAAAAAGGGAAAGAAACACATTACAGATGTGGCATGATTGGCATTATCATGGACTTAGTTGTCGATCAAACATTTAGTAGCTAGAGTTGTATCAAACTTTTGTAAAAGGTAAAGAGAAAATAATGAAGCAAATGTTGTAAACGAGGAAAGTGCTCTTGGATTTAGCTTTGATGTGTCTAATTTTTTCATGAATAACATTAAAACTAGCATTTATGTTTTTTCCGATCCGAAGAAAAAATATATTATTTAGACTAATTTTAGATGGTCAATCTGCTACTATGATATGCATGATGTTATTCTTTGAAGTATTTTACTTATGTATTTATAATTTGATTTATCTATGAAGTAACTTTATTTTACATTAATTAATTTAAACTAATTTAGGGTGTGTTTGGTTCGGATAATGGAAAGGAAACAAATAAGAGGGGGAAAAAGAATCATTTAACTATTACCTTTTCATTTGTTTGGTTTAACCATGGAAAGGAATCGGTTAAACTTACTCCCTTTGTTTTTGTTTGGTTTACCTAATAGGAAGGAATCACTTGAAAATGCAACTACTTATATAATAGGAAACTTTTGCTATATGAGCAATTTTACTTGATTGAGTCACATACAATCATTAAAATACCATAAAATCAAGTTAGCTATAATACTAAATTGATGATCACTATTAGCTAATAACTAATCATGCAAAAGGTATTGAAAATTAACTAATACCCATGTCTGAATGTGCCAAAATTTTACCCTGAATCACAATTATTGAATCAATAAATTAAGCAAACTGTATGTGAGATAGAATGAAAAGGGAGGAAGACGGGATAAAAACCAAAAAGAGCACTCAAACTTTATTGAGCATTTCATGAAACACCTAGTAGGCAGGCATTAATGCAATATACAAAATTGAACAAAAATTATGTATTCACTAACCAAAACCCCAATATAACCAACAATATTATCAATAATATTGAACAAATATATACACAAAAGTTCCAACAATAGTATAATTTACTCACAAAATAGTTTTTGATGACAAATTTTCAACCAAAAACAAATAAAATCAACGTATATAAATGATAAAAAAAATAATTAAAAGCTAAAAAAAATTACAAACAATTGCAAGAATTACTGATGAAGATCCAAAGTCCAATCTCACGCCTCTCCAGAAGATAGCAGCTAGCATTGTAGATAGCTAGTACAGAGAAGAGGAGTGAGAAAATGAAATGTTGGGAGTGAAGAAGAGAAATAGGATTTTTGTGATTGATGAGGGTAAGGGTATTTGTTACCCTAAGTTTTTGAGAGGTAACAAATAAGGAGTAACAATTACCTTTTAGCTAGTAATGGTAATTGTTATCATGCCTTTTAACCAAATAGTTGATAACGGTATCGATTTAATCAAATCCGTTTTCAAACTAAAAAATACACCAACCAAATGCCCCATTAGTATTTATTATATGAAGATATGGATGGATCTACTTTATGTTGGATCGAAATATATATTAATACCTTTTGTTTCGTGGCAGACAACACGTATTTTTTTTTTTTTTTTTAAAGTGTTACACTTTCAGTTTTGGAAAATTACTACATTTTAGTATTACTTCTCTTTATGCTCTCTCATGATCCCCACTCAAAATCTACTATTCCCTCCGTGTTTTTTAATTAAAATATATGTCTCTTGAGCACATAAGTCAGTGCAGAATTTTGACTAATAAAATCTTTAATTATCAGTAATTAAATTTATAAAGATAGAATCAGGCCCGACTTTAGCCGGTGCAGCCTGCGCAACCGCTTAGGGCCTCTGGGGCCTTAAATTAATACAATATATACATTTTGTTGTGCATTAGATACAGTATAAATGTTGTGTCTCAGCAGCAAATGCCTAAGTGTAGAGTCCTTTCTTGAGGAAAATACGATGTTCGATTCCCATTTACTTCTTTGTTCAGTTTTTCTTTCTTTTTAGATACTCCCCTATTTTTAAATATGTGCCCTATTTTTTATTTTAGAAGATTTAGATACTCCCTCTATCTTTAATTATGTGCTATGTTTTTTTTTTTTTTTTTTTTTTTTCCGACCTTTTTTTTGAATAAGCACTCTTATATTTTGGAAGTAGTAAAAATATTTTAATACTCCATACTTTTTCTCCAATCCCCGACTCAATTTCATTTTTTAAGAAATATTTTCCATTCTCTCTCTCTTCTTCTCTACAATAACGTATTAATACTTTTATAATTTTTTTTTTTATTTTTTTTTATTTTTTTTGTTTTCAGCATGTTTCTCTTGAATATCAATTTAAAATTTATCTCTTTGTTCTAAACCTTTGTGAAAAATCAAGCAGAGCACTTATTAAATGCGGGAGTATTATACATTTTATTTTTATTTTTTTTAAAAAAGGGCCTAATTTTATCTCAACTGCATAGGGCCTCCGTAATAGTTGGGACTACCCTAATTAGAATATTTATAAACTATTCATTAACACGATTCCAACAATTACTCACAATACTATCTATAATATTTTAATACTCTAATTACCCCAGTTAGACGACCATTATAAAGTTGTTAGCTGGAGCTACACTACCAACATACCATTAATCATTCTAGAAAAAACTTCAGAACAAATGGATTCACCCATCTACGCCAAAGAAGAAACAAAAGAGCAACTACTAGAAGCACAAGCTCATATATGGAGTCATGTTTTCTACTTTCTCAAATCCATGGCCTTAAAATGTGCAATTGAACTACGCATTCCAGACACCATTCAAAAACATGGCAAACCAATGACTCTTAAAGAGCTAGCCAATTCTCTTCCTATCCTCCCAAACAAAGTATCCTCTCTTTCGCGCTTAATGCGCCTTCTTGTATCCTCGAAATTCTTCTCAATGAAAACCTTACTCAACGGCGAAGAAGGATTTGTTCTTACATTGAGCTCCCAACTTCTGTTGAAAGCTCACCCGCTTTCGCAAGCTCCATTTGCTCTTACAACGCTTTCTTTACTAACCGAACAATCTTCTCATCTAAGCAATTGGTTTCAAAGTGAGGTTGAGTACGAATCTCCCTTCCAAATAGCTCATGGAAGGAAGTTTTGGGAACATGCTTGCCATGAACCGATGTTGAACGAGTATTTTAACAGTGCTATGGAAAGCGATTCTCGATTCGTTACGAGCCTATTGGTGACAAACAAACAATTCAAGGGATTACTTGACGGAGTGGATACGTTGGTCGACGTTGGCGGCGGCAATGGGACGACTGCTAAGGCCATATCCGAGGCCTATCCATCGTTGGTATGTACTGTACTTGAGTTGCCACATGTGGTTGAGGATTTACAAGGGAATGATAATAATGGCAACGTGATTTACGTTGCTGGTAATATGTTTATGAAGGTCCCTCTTGCTGATGCTGTCTTACTTAAGGTGAGATGCTAGACTGCTAGATGTCTTTTTTTTTTTTTTTTTTTTTTTGGTACTACATACGCTTCGTATTACTCGCAACAAAGAAATATTTTATGTCTCACAAATAATACACTTTTGTTGTGAGTAATGTGATTTTGTTCTAGTTTCATTTACATCTTTTCTTTTTGTATGGACTAAAAAACTAAACAATCTGCGATCACTACCACGTAAATAATCGATACGCTAATACCACGTTTTCTTCACTTTAAAAAATGATTATTATTTAGTAAAAATAATTTAATCTCCACTCTATAAAAATAAGCTCAGTTCAATATAAATACTCCATATTTTTTAATCAATTAAAAATTATTAATTTTAAAGAACAAAATATGACAAAAACCAGTACTACAATATTTTTCAATCACTAAAATAATTTAAACTTTTACAAAAATTAAATTTCAGTAAAAATAATTTTATTTAATAAAAAATAAGGTGAAGAGAGTAGGGCCTTATAGATTTTTGTTGTTCTAAGTTGAAATTTTAATTCACATAACTTTTAGTGTACCTTTCCATTTCCTCTGAAATGTGGGCTTTTATACTTCGTCTTATAATATAGTGTATTGTTTAAATTTCATTTTAGCTTTCCAAAAATGTCCTGTATGCTTCTATTCATTTAATTACTACCAGTCTGCAACTTTAAATTTTTTTATTTTTTATTTTTTATTTTTTATCACACAAATAGTCAAATAATAACCAAAGTTACACATATTATGTAACAGAGGTAGCATATATTTTTTTGTGCATAGTTATGTTAATATCTCAATTATATATATATATATATATATTATTCTCCAAATATATCACTTTTAAGATTAAATTTGATTCATCTGATTTTATTTGAAATTATATTATTTTATATGACCTTTCTGAAAAGAACATGATTTATCTAGACATATTTTATTGGATGATACGAAAGGTCACAATCTATGTCTAAAAAATTGTCATAATCTTGTGTGGCACTTATTCTTTAGTGGCTTGTAATATATGACTCGTCAATTTTACTTTTACTAATGTTTCAAAAAAATTTAGTATAACGATGAATTGTAGGAATTGGATATGTAAGGGAATGAAGTTTAGGGAAATTAGTATACTTCCTCCGGTTTTAGTTATTTGCAATAAAGGGGTATTATTTGTGAGACATAAAATATTCCTTTGTTGCAAATAACTAAAATCGGAGGAAGTATACAAAGTCTTATAACTATGGTAAAAAATAAAAAATTTCCTTCTGTCGTGAAACCATTCACTAAAAATATAGAATTTTATTGCATATAATTTTTAAATTTTATTTTACTTCTGAATATCTATTATGAATATTTAATTTAACTACATTAAATATAATATTATTAAGCGTGCACATTAATGTATTTTAATTTTGTCTCCACTTGTGAAACGAAAACTGGCACCGTATATAATGTGTATCATATAATTCCCGATATTCTTTCAAATAAAATTATAATTCCCGATATTGTTTTTATTTATTATTTTTTTTTTAATTTTATTTTATTTGTTGTACTTATCTTAATTATTTAAAAATTATAATAAAATAAAAAAATTGATACTTCACATTGTAAAACTAATATATACATTGAAACACATCTAATGATGTTTTAATACAAAGTCAAAATATTTTATTATTATGAAACGAATGTAGAACAGAGAATTTTTGGTTAGAATTTTTAAAGTTTGATTATAATAAATGAAGATAGGAGCAACGAAAAATAACCAACGGAGTACAATATTACACGTTCATCGACTTTGTTTAATTCTCGTGCAAATGAAAAACCTACTTTATAATTTTAAACGATGATACTATTAAATATTTTAAGATGTGTAAGCTAAGAAACCACATACATACCCTTGTCATTTGTAGATGGTATTAAATCCACTAATTGTTTTCTATATTCTCAATAACATGAATAACGTGAGCCTACTGTTTGTATTTTATAACTATATGCAGTGGATTTTACATGATTGGAGTGACCATGATTGCATTAAAATACTTAAACAATGCAAAGAGGCAATTCCTAGCAAAAGTCAAGGAGGAAAGGTGATTATCATTGATATTGTGGTGGAGCCTCAAATTAAGAATTCAAAGCATTCAAATGCCCAAATTTTATTTGACATTGAAATGATGTCACTCTTTGGAGAGGGAAAAGAAAGAACTGAAGAAGAATGGAAAATACTATTTGTTAAAGCTGGTTTTAGTGATTACAAGATCCTTCCTATACTAGGTTTGAGGTCTGTTATCGTTCTTTATCCTATATAAGTTTTTGGTAGTAACTCCCATCTAGCACTGACTCATGAGAAAGATATACTTAGTATATCATCTATTCGAGTGCATGTACGTCATGATATGGCATAAGATGTTATTCTATGATTTCAACTACTACCTCTGTTTTTCTCTTTATAACAAAGAGCTATTATTTGTGAGACATAAAATATTTCTTTATTATGTATGTCATAATAGTTTGCTTTGTACTGAAAGTTACTTATCTAGTTAGGCCATAGCGTGTGTTTAATAATAATTCCAAGTTCTATGTATATAAGGATTTTAGTGATGATTTGGGTATTTTTACCTCGCCACACGTGGACCAACCAAAGCGTGACACGTGTCACCTAGGGAGAGCCCAAAGTGGATCTACTAGGACTAGACACGTGGCAGACAGATACCCAATATGGAATTGGCGGCCTTCAAGGCCCAATTCCCTAGACTTCCCAGAAACGGCGCAGCCCATTAATTCTAGGTTTCCGTAACTTAGGTAAGAGACACAAATCCCATTGACCCTATAAATAGGGAGATTTACCCCACTTTGTGAACAACATTCAATTATTGAAAAACACCCGATCTCGGAATCAGAGAAGATCTCACTTTACTTTTCGTACCTTTTTACATTCTCCGTACACGTTCTAACTTGACCATCGGATACAGAACTCCACCCAACCGGAGTCTCCGTTGCTTTGTAGGTACAGGCGTCCGGAGTCCAGACTTAGTGACGTAACTCTCCCAAGGGACACGGAAAATAATCCCGAAACATTTGGCGCCGTCTGTGGGGAGAATACATCTAAGATGGCTTCACAACAGTCTGTACCGCCTCCTAATGAGAAACGGCCTACGGCCGAAGGTGAGGTCTATTCGGATCATGACAGTGATGACGACTTTGAAGTTGAAACGTATGTGGCCCCTAATGGGTCACTCAGAACCAGACGCACCCGTCCCACGGAAAGAAGGGAACGGGGCGATGATCAAGCTGGTCCAAGTAAGTCATCCGGACAGCCGTCAGGACAACACCAGGCAGCGGAAGGCACAGCCCCAGTCACTTGAGACGAACTCATGAAATTCATGACAAGTTTCAAGGGGGAGATAAAGAACCTGATCAACAAGAGGACGGCTGGTTCCAACAGGGGTCAATCGGCCAAGAAGCCTTCTCTCTCTGAGAAGAACAAGACGGTTACTCCGCACCCTAAATCAAAGGAGGGGAAGCGGCCCTTGATCGATCTGACCAAGATTCGATTCCTTAAGACAGGGAAGAGGAAGGACATCCGGCATGTCCAGCCGGATGGCTCAAAGAAGACATACTCTGATGCCCAGTTCCTAATCGAGCAGAAGATAAACCAGCAACTATTTGAGTCAGATTCAACGTCGAGCTACCCAGACAGCTTCCAGAATACCTCAATGAGGTATTCTTAATCTGTACGAGAGTCATCCAAGTGGCCCATCCATCCACACTGGCCCTCAAATGATCCATTCGATCCCGTATGTGCCTCATTAGCCATACATGATGTATGGACAACCTTACGAAGACCAACGGGAAAAAACTTAGGAAGCAAAACCTTATTCCACCCTAAATTCATTCCTTCCCCTTCTCCTACTCGATTAACAGAATAAACACGAGCACAAAGCGGATGTATCGGAATTGAAAAAACACCCTGGACACTCATTTTATGATAATTGATCACAACTAGTTTATAGTTATCTTATAAGTAATGTACCCAAATCCAACGACATACTCATCTTTATACATAATAGGTTTAGGTTCAATACGTCGGATGTTGTTGATTGATGGGTTCCAAAGCATAAGGACACCCATGCTATCAGACAAACAAACTAATCCATCATACGAGGCGACGACATCTTTGAATTCTTCTGGAGGGTTTTGAAGTTTGGTGCGGCGTGGGAACGGATTAATGTAGCGGTAAAGATAGTATGTTAGGGATGATCTAAAGAGGAGCAAGTGTTTGTTTGAATGGCGGGAGAAGGATTTGTGATGGTGTAGATCTGACTCGATAAATTTCGGGTTTATGATTAGAGAGCACCATGATTTTGAAACGGTGAGGAATTTTACAGGGATTTTGAAGGGAGTTTTTCGAGGAATTAAAGGGTGAAGATCGGATGGTTGTATTTGTTTTCTGCCATTGATAAACGAAAGAAATTGTAATTCACAGGAATTTTAAAAGAAAGTTTTTCCAAAATTGAGGAGGTGAATGACTGAATGAATTGATATATCTGGTATATATGCCTATATGAAGTATATATAAGACATAAATAAGCAATATATAAGATGAGTAGTAAAAAGATAAATTTTGGGAACCGAAGCACATATTTACATAATTACATAATTACATTTACAGTTACACCTGTAGGGTTCCGTAGTGACCCACAATACGCGGAATACAACCCACCAACACTCGCCCCCATAATAAATGTAATTAACAAGCAAAACATAATTAAAAAGCATAAGAAAGGATAAAAGATTATACCTTTCACGCGTGCTTCGCTCAACTATGAGCTCTTACTTGAACCCCGAAAACACGAGGCCTCCGACAGGATCGTACCCTCGAACCCGACCTGAGCGTCCTAAGCCTCGAATGTTAGTCGAGGCCCGGACAAATAAAACTAAGATTTTTATGAATTCAAGGTTTACTCAAATCAAGAGTTGCCTTTTTAATTCTACTCAAGTGTTTTCATTCCCAATACCCATGCCTTGGTATTTATAGGGAAATGGACCCTTGATTTCCAATCTCCCATCAATGTGGGAGAGTTGGTAAATTCAATAATTTCTTTAATTCCAAATTATATAAATAATTAAATCAATCACTAATAGACAAGTGGCGCAATTAGGGGCTAATGAGTCATGCCCAAGGTTAGGCGGGGGGGACCATTGTTTTGCTCCCCAAGGCTTTGCTTGGTCCCCACAACCACACACAAACCGACTTCAAGGAGGGTTGTGCTGGCTGCCAGCTAGCATGCCAGCTAGCGCTGCCAGCTAGCACCAGCCAGCAGCTTTGCATCCCCAGCCAGGTAGTGCGTGCTGGTGCTGGGCGATGCTTGGCGCTGGTGCTGCGTGCTAGTGTTGTGCGCTTCTAGCATGCTATGCTGGCGCTGGCCCAACACTCCCACGCAATCACTTGCACACACACGCAGCTACGCACAACCATGCCAGCCAGCCCCTCACGCACGCAAGGCCTAGCATGCGTGCTGCTAGCGAGCCACACATGCTGGGCTTGGTGTTGGGCGATGGTGCACACGCACACACGCACGTGCTTAGCACTGCGATGGTGCTGTGCGTGGTGCTAGGGCTGCTATGGCGCCTAGGCATGATGCTAGGGCTGCGATGGCGCCTAGGCATGGTGCTAGGGCTGCGATGGCGCCTAGGCATGGTGCTAGGGCTGTGATGGTGGCTAGGAACCCTTGGCACGCATAGTACGCCTAGCACACCATGGTGCACTTAAGTTCATGTTGAGCCAGCCTAGTCTAGCAGTCCACATGGCTAGGCCAGTGCGATGCTACGGCTACGCTTATACTTGTCGCTTGTGATTTTGCGACGCTCGGTCTCGACGCCTTAGGCTCGATATCTGACATCTGTATTCGTAAAACTCTGTCGACTCATTAAATCCTTCGGATTAATTCGCCGTCTCGGATCGGTTGTTCGATTGGGTTCGACCCGAAGGGTTCAGTTAAGATTAAGCTGTAATATTAATTATACCTTAATATTACTGATCGGAAGCGGCCTCCACCTAGGCATTCCGATCACTTGACCTTACTGAAGAATTAGCTCTGTAATAATTCTGAACCCTCTATCAGAACAATACACTTGTTGGAAGGGCACCATTCCTTTCAATCTCCCACTTGTCCTTCCGGACAAGTGTGCATATAGTGTATAGCCCATCTCCTATGTCACTTAATGTCTCTTCGTGAACTATTACGTAAGATTCATCGTCATCCTTTTTACGTTCAGAAGTGTTTCTCGATCTCCGAGTTTGACTGTCAATAAGCAGATGATTTCTAAAATCCATCTGAGCACGACCATGCTTTTTCACAGTCTCGCTCTTCGAGCGGCCTTGTAAACAACAAAGACATATTCCCTATTGTTGATAGGGGGAAATTCCCAGTCTTGCATTGTAAGTGTCTCTTACTAAGAGGACCTAATCTCCTGAGTGTTCCCGTTATGATCCCCAGTTACGGAAGACGTTAGGCAACATCAAAAAGACTAGTACTCAAACAAGAAAACTTCACAATACTCATGGTCAAGGAAACGAGTTATGATAGCTATAATGAGAAATGTACTTATGACAATTTCGGATCTCTTAAAGTACTCTCATAGGTCGATCCAGTGTAGTTCCAAACTAGCAACTCTGCAAATGATTTATGACCATCATGTCCTTGCAGCACAAGAAACGATGCTGTAAATCATACTGCACACTAATCTTTGATGGTCATCAATCGTCCATCAGTTAAATGACCTCGATTAGGGATAATTTTTTATTTAAATATTCAATGTTCACTTAAGAGGTGTTTCTTTATCCAAGACATGGTCATGATACCCTGTTTTGAATATTTCCATAGATCGAATGGACTCATTATTTAATTCTAAACCACAATTAAATAGCAATGGAGTGAAAAATAATTTTGCACAAAAATTAATTACTCCATTAATGAATGGTTTCAATACAGTGTCTTACATTAAAACATCTAGTTTAATTAAAACACATGTACAGGGAATTTCAAAGCCAGTCTCTGATGTGCTTGATTCCCATTGCCTCAACTTGCTTGTTGTGTTTCACTTGAGGCAAAGGTAGTCAAAGGATCGACCACATTATCATCCGTGCCGATCTTGCAAATTCAGATTTCACCTTCGGATTTCCATTCCCTTATCATGTGAAATCGCCATTGGACATATTTGACCTTCTAGTGCTCTCTTGGCTCTCTAGCCTGAGCGATAGCTCCATTGTTGTCACAGTAGAGATCTATCGGACCCTTAATGGAGGGTACAACACCAAGTTCACTGATGAACTTGCGAATCCAAACAGACTCCTTAGCAGCTTCTGAAGCAGCCAAGTATTCGGCTTTAGTTGTAGAGTCTGCAGTTGTGCTCTGCTTGGCACTCTTCTAGCTAAACGCTGCTCCATTCAGACAGAATATGTATCCTGACTATGACTTGAGTCGTCTCTGTCAGTTAGGAAGCTAGCGTCGGTGTAAC